CCTTTAATTAACACATTACATAGGCCATTTTTTTCTTCTCAAAAAATACGTATGTTTACATCTCTCATTCTATATTTGTAATAGTCTTAAACTGTAGTAAAAGGAGTGCAGAGAAAGCAGTTAGGATACACAACACCATAAAGTGCCAAACTTCACACAGCAGTGTTACCAAGTATATAGTTCACTGGACCGAATTCTAAACCGATGGATCTTGCCATCTTCTTTATCTCACTTAAAAACTGCTTTTGGGGAGCTCTGTTCAAGAGTATTTCACATACTTGGGAAATCCTAAGGACAGTGTGTTTCTTTCTTGGTAATTTCAAAGTCTTGGCTTCAGCATAGACGTTTTACAAATATCTGCTTTTAAAGCAGCAGAGCCATGCTGAATGGGATGTTCCTACACCACAAAGAGGAGAGATCCTGCTTTCTTTTCTTTCCATATTAAACACAGGACAGTAACTCTATTGTATAATATCAGCATGCACTAATGCTTCAGGAACAGACGCTCCTGTTGTTTGCACAGTAAGTCACAGATGAAATATTTGAAATGTTACCGTATACTGAATGTGTAAGAACAGTATTACTGTAATATTCCTTACACCCTGAAGGCCCTAGTATCTGGAAAGCAATATCTAGTATTAAGAAAAATAATGGGCTCGTCGTATCTCCTATAGAACTGTGCAAGAATCGAATAATCACAGCACCTTATTCTTGAGTTGAACAGCAAGCATTCAATATCTGAGTGTTACTGAGCTAAACTGAAGTCGCTGCTTAATAAGATGCATTAAAAAAAAAAACCAACAAATCCTCTTTTTATCAATAATCTAATGTGAAATTTTGAAGAGCAAGTTCTTGTAAAGTTTTCCAAAATAAAATTCAACACCTTGACAGGAAACACAGAACTGCGAGATCGCAGCAAAACTAATTCCTAAAACAAAACACAAAAAATATATTTGGACATTATCTATTCTTTGCTTCACGCTGTTGGTGCCCATTTCTTGGTAAAACAGTACTTAATGTAACATTCTGAACCTGCTATTTAGTGCAAACTCAAGACAAAGTTCTTTATGAACTAAGTGTGATCTTTTATAGATGAATTCCAAGCAATTTACCCAACAAATGAGAAATCATAAGTAAACAACAGTCACATTTTCTGACTGTTTCCTATAAATCCAAGAGTGTAACACTCAAACTAGTATCAAGTGTTGCAGAAAGTACAAGGTGAGTACAGAACTAATACAACATCCTTACTCAGCAATTTTACAACGCAAGAGTAAGGCAGGGCACAACGGGCAAATTCCAGAGAGGCAGGCAGGTGACAACACACATCGAGATGGTAGGTATCACCAAAAGAAAGTATCTTTTAAAAAAATAATAATAAAAAGTGTCTTAACAGTGGTGAAGTTTTATGCAAACACCATGAGAAAAAAAAAAATTATGAGCGAGTACGAGGGACAGTGACGTATAGCTAGCTGTGAGGAAGGAGAAGAAAGGACAGAAGTCTCTGTGAAAACACGACAAGCAAGGAAACCCGTCATCCGTGGCTGAGGAAGTCAAAGCAACTCCAAGCAGTGACCGAGAGATGGCAGAGGACAAGGTTTTCCTTCATTGCACGGGTGCCACAGGAGTAGGGAAA